TCTTTTTCAGATTGATAAACACATGCAATAAACAGATGGAAAGAGAAGTGGGTCCAAGTTTATAATGAAGGTACACTCTCTGGTCACACTTAGGATGTTTACAATTTCATCTGAAACATGAAAGAACTGACATACAATACTACAAAGGGATTTCTATATGACCCAAATCCTGTGTAGGGCATGTTGAGATCTAGAGCAAAAGTAAAGGAGAGATTACACTGCCTTTTTATATATATGTATACAGAAAGAGTAGCCTTGTGGGAAATTCAGATGTCTTGCAATTATCACACCAAAAATGCTGGCTGAGTATATAAGGAGTTCTAGTTCAACCATATCTGAAGGATACCAGATGGGAGAAGACTGTCAAAGAGACTGCATCTGAAAATGCTTTGTATGATGGATGGTACTGTTGCCTAGAAAAAGCTAAGGAAAAACAGCAGATTTGGACTTTATTAATAAGGTTTCAAAGATGTTACAATTTGAATTTTTTAATTTATAATTTGGTTGGAAATTCAGAAGATCAGATTAATTAATGAAAGCATACAGTTTTAAAAACAGCATTGGTTGACTTTGCCATTCTCATTCAGCAGAGACCCACTTCAATATGGAGACCTCTGTGGGCACATAGGTATAGGATATCTTTTTGTAATTCTGTTGTTGAACAAAAAGTAATCCTCTTGGGAAATGCATCATCAATATTAGAAGGTTAACTTGAAATCTGGCCATTTCCTGCTTTAATCTACAGAACTTTGAAGATGTGGTTTTCTGAATCTAAATGTTTCCTTTGAAAAACAAACTGTTCTAAGGATGACTAACTTTGACAATATTCCTTTAATAAAAAGCAGACTCGCTGCATAAAAGTCACACTATTTTTTAAAGTTTTTTCAGATCCCAAAATATTTCTCCAAAAATGTTAATTGGTCAATTTTAAGCCAAAAAGACAAAATGCCTATTGCTGTGTGCCATTTTGGTATCATAGTTCCATGTAGCAACCTGTTCAACCTGTATACGAAGATACTAAAATAAAAAACAAAGGATTATATAAAGCATCCAAAGATGAAAAGAGTAAAAAAAAATGTGTCAAAAGCTAATTTAAACACCACAAACTACTCCTAAAACTAAAATCTTATGGTATCTCTGGACACCTCCATAACTGGATAGAAGCAGACAGACAACAAATTGTCAAAATTGGGAGCATGCTATCAAATTCTGTACCTGTCAACAGTGGTGTCCCCCAAGGCAGTGTTCTAGGACCAACTCTTTTCATACTCTACAATGATCTCTGTGATCATATCAAGAGAAACTGCATTCTCTTCACTGATGATGTAAAGCTATTCAACACCACAGACAATACCGCTCCCCTTCAAAAAGACCTTGACTATGTATCAGAATGGTCAAACAAATGGCAACTTCAAATCTCAACAAATAAATGCTCTGTCTTACATATTGGCAAAAAAACAAACAAAAAAAAAACAGAAAATAAAATACAAGCTGAATAGTCAAGACTTTGTTGATGATCCAAACTCTGTAAAGGATCTTGGAGTACTCATCTCTAATGACCTAAGTGCTAGAGCCCACTGTAACTACATAGCCAAAAAGGCATTAAGAGTTGTTAACCCAATCTTACGTAGCTTTTTCTCTGGTAATATTGCACTAATAACTAGAGCATACAAAACATTTGCTAGACTAATACTCGAATACAGCTCATCAGTCTGGAACCCACATTACGTATCTGATATTAATACAGTTGAGAAAGTCCAGAAATATTTCACAAGAAGAGTTCTCCACTCTTCTACTCGTTACAGAATACCTTCTGCCACCAGACTCGAAATTCTAGACCTAGACAACCTAAAACTACTCCGCCTTCGGTCCGATTTAAGTATAGTATATACAATCATACATTGCAATGTCCTACCTGTCAATGAATACTTCAGCTTCAACCATAACAATACAAGAGTAAACAATATATTCAAACTCAAGGTTAATTGCACCAAACTTGATTGCAGGAAATACGACTTCAGCAACAGAGAGGTCAATGTCTGGAATACCCTACCTGACTCTGTGGTTTCTTCCCCAAACCCCAAAAACTTTAACCTTAGACTGTCTACTATTGACCTCACCCCTTTCCTAAGAGGTCTGTAGGGGGCGTGCATGAGCGCACCAACGTGCCTACCGTCCCTGTCCTATTGTTTCTTTTCTTTTTTTTCTTTTTCTTATATTTATCCATGTATTCATAACTATGTTTTTACTTATACCTGTTATGTTGTAAGCAATTGACAAAAATAAATAAATAAAAATAAATAAATAATAATTTGCTATGAAAAGTATTTATAAAAATAGCCTTATTTCTGTGCTAGTATCTCAGCTAGCAGCAAATAAAATGTGAAGGGTGCTGAGAATGATTGGAAATCCAGAGGTTCATAAAACCCTGTTGGAATAGCCAGCAATCCATCTCTTAATACTCAATCGGCTGTATTCAGAAGATTTAATAGAAAGATGACTATCTCTTGTCACTGTTATTCCTTGGCAGCTAGTATTCAACATATGCCACTTCTGATTATGAAAGTAGCAAAAAAAAATCATTGAGAATGCTAACGCAGTAGAACTGCTGGACAAAATCTGTATTTTCCTTTCCCTGCTGTCTATTGAATATCTTCATTCCCTCTTTGTAATTAAGAATTACTGATGCTATAGTTTTTCCCAGTGGATAAGCTGCTATATCATCCAAATTGTTTTGATTGTCCTTTTGGGGGAAGGGTTTTTTAATTCTTCAATAAGTAGACTGATGTACAATTTGTAGAATATTGAATACAATATTCAAGTGTAGTGGTTAAAACTGAATACATTCGTTCCAAATGTGGTCTCATCATAGATTTATAAGGACATCATAATATTGGCCGCATTTCTGTTAGTTTTTTTCAATGTTTCCAGACATAGAATTTTATGGCGGCTAGACATTGGGCAATTTTCCTTGACTTATGTACTATGACTCCAAAATTTTCTGAATACTTTCTGCTTCTTCTCCTTAGCTACATTAAAATGTTGACGTTTATTGATCTACTTTGGTCAGATCCTTTGGGAATTTTCTCTAAATCTCTCTTCTCCTTTTTAATTTTACTATCTTAATACATAATCTAATCAAAGTTATCCAGTGGTATCATAGCTTATTAGTAACTGTAATCCACATCTAAAGAAAAATAATTTAAGGAATAGGATCATGATGGGCAAGAAAATTGACCTTTTTGATGTAGAAGGTTTAAAAATCCTCTTTTTTCCTCATCAGGAACAACAATATTATATCGCATTTAATATTTTTTTTACTTAAAAAGATTGCATGGTGGTATACATAGCAAAAACATGTACAGTAGCATGGGCTGACAATGACCCAACAGTAATCCAACAAGCCTCTGTTCCTAAGAGTAACTTGAAACTAGGTGTCCCCAATCCTATCCCTCCACTTTAATCAGTCCATTAAACCAGCTCTTTATTTGCAGAGATCAACTTACATTTTCAAAAAAGCAAGAGTTTGGCATTTTCTCCAAATACCAGGAAGTGTTGCACAATGCTTGTGCAATGGGACAGTGACTCAAAATTTCATTATCCTTGAAATTACAGCAATTCTACTTCTCCCTCCCATCCAAAATCTCTCACAATATCATGTCAAAACAACAACAAGAAAGTTCAGTTGCCCCTTGAAAAGCACCTTTGAGAGTCTCACAATAATAAATAATAAAGTATAAATAATAAAGTATTCTGAATTCTCTTATTCTTATTATGTGAAGAGAGATCTCTTTTTCACACCTCATGAGATTTGGAGTCTTGTCAATACTCAGTTGTTTTTATTTTTAAAATGGCATAATAATAATAAAGGTTGCTAATGACATCTACTGGCAATATATTATTGACCTCTGATGTAACACATTGTTATGGTGGGAGCAAAACCAACTTTGTAATACTCTTTGAAAACAATACAAATGATAGAAAAAGCAAGGTGCAGAAAGTACTTGAATAAATAATTTTTAAAGAATATAATATCTACCATTAAATGTGCTATAGCAAGCAAATGACTCTTCACTTACTTTCAGTGAAGAGTTAATTTTAGCAACCTTCCTGTGACAGAATGAATGTAACAGGCTCCTTTCTCAAATATCTACCTAAACACTTAGTGGTTAACAGATGAAACATCTAAGCAATTAAAATTAATCAATAGATGCTTTAAAATATCAAACGAAACCCCCCAGCAACAATATAAAATAGATTAACTGAAGGAACTGAGTGAGAAAAAAATCCAAGTATCATTTCTATTATTTATTTTATAAATAGTTAGAAATTTTAAAATGCTTCAAAAATTAAAATTCATTCTGGATGATAGACGAATTTTCCTCAGATGATAAACTGTATTTCAATACATTCTTAGGTTCATTTCTTCCAATAGGAATAGGATGTGATTCCAAAAAAATGCTCTGCAGTCAGGCTATTTCACTTGACTATATTGTGGACAAGTAGAAAGACTATTTATATTTATTAAAAGTTGGCAAACCCCATATTTCAAACCAGTAGTCCAGACACAAAGACTCCACTTAAAATTGGTTGTGCCATTTACTGTTTTAAAGGCAGCTCTGGAATGAAATGATCTGTGTAAATCTGAAAGACACAGAAGTTTAGGAAAAGAGCACACTGACAATTAATGTATTTGCAAATATCAATGATGTTTCTTCCTTAAAATTCTTGATATCCCCTAAACAAATTTCTGATACCCCTAAACAAATTTTTGGTATGTATTTTCTTGGAGTACACATTCAGTATAACGTAAATGTGACAGTTATCAATATACTATAATACAAATATATATAAAATGAGTGTGCGTACATGCACAGAGACACATACATACATACATACATACATACATACATACATACATACATACA